ACATTTTACTGCTTTCTGCCCAATCCCTCATATAAACTATAACGGCATCATTATCAAAAACAATTGTTTGCCTGTTTTGTTTTAAACATGAAAGTCACTGAAGAGAGACAAATATCTAATTTTTTGTCCACCAAGGGCGGCACACGTCCGAACCATCCGGCTACGGAATATTTTGGACCCCAGCCCGGAAGATGAGAGATGCCTACTCTACCTAATCGCTCTGTGCATTTCTGCATGCCTCGTCTCCACGTCATCTGCCGGCCTCCAAGTAGCTTTCTCCAGCCTGCAACAGCCACTGCGAATAAGGCACGATGCGTCGGACGTACGCAAAACGTCCTAACCAACAGAGCCTATTGAGCTGAATTCGATGCGATAGCGATCTCTTGTTCGATGCATTCCCAAATACCCGATGACTTACTAACCCGCTCACTTCATCCCACTTGTCGAAAACCACTAGGCGACCAATGTCTTTTACCCACAATTTGAAGGTCTCAACCGTAAAGCAGAACTGATCGTACAGTGGCGCAGTATACGCCACTTGTCAACTTCAGTGAAACGTCACGTCGCCGCCACAGGTGTTTAAGTCTTGCATACGNAATTCCTGACCGTTTAACTTCAAAACAGAACTTGGTGACACCCAGTTTTGTAGCATCTCTTTGCACTTTGAAGGTGCAAAGCGCGTGCCGAACGGAGCGACAGAACTTGCTAATCGTCAAGTGCTCTTTGTGCATCCTCCATACATTCGAACAAGCAAACGATCTCGTCAGCGTACTTCAAATCGCTCAGCTTTTCTCCAGCTGCCCATTCAATACCTACATTTTGGAGACCACCAAGTGTTCTCCAGTATTTCGTCTATGACGAAATTGAGCAGGAATGGCGAAAGAGGACACCCTTGACGAACACCGCTGCTAGCTACGAACGACCTACCCAGGTCGTCGTAGATCCTCACGCTACCAGAAGTATGCAAGTAGAATGAACACAGTATGTTCACGTACTTCTGCGGCATTCCTTTGCGAAGGAGCGAATCCACAAGGGATTCACGATCACCTGATTCGAAGACTCCTTTTAGGTCAAGGAACACGACAACCGTTGGTCGACGGTGCGTATGGCGTAGCTCGAGGACTTCACGTAGGGTGAAAATTTGGTCGATACAGCCGCGACCTGATCGAAATCCTGTTCGCGGATGTTCGTTTCCCTAAACGACGTGAGACGTCGAAGCATGTGGGAGGCTAGTAACTTGGTGAGGATCGGGATCAAACTGATTCCACGGTGGTTTGCACAGTCGTTGCGAGATCCCTTCTTAAAAATTGGAACGATCAGTGATCCACTCCAAAACAACAGAATGCGCTCGTGTGAACAGATGTCACGCATTACATCGGTAATGAAGTCTACGAGGTCACTGTCCCCCCTCCCCCCATCTTGAAAAGAGTGGGAGGGACGCCGTCCGCCCTTGTTGTTTTTCCTTTCTTCAGGGCTTCGATGCAAGAACGAATTTCTGCTGCAGTAAGAGGTACAGATGACACTGACCACGGAGCCTCACCTACACCGGAAGAGGTAATCTGGTTAGCGCCTGGCTAGCTGAACTGTTCGTTGAAGTACTCCGCCCAGCGGCCGTTGCTTCCTATTCTGAATAGCTTTCCCACTTTGTCACAGATTGTTCCATTAACTGTGGTGCAACGACCTCCCGTATTGCGTATCAGTTGGAAAAGTCTTTGACTATTTCCTGATGCAGCCGCTAGTTCCATTTCACTAGCTGTTGTTGCCCATCAGTTCTCACGGTCTTTCTTAAGGCCCCTTGTCAGTTCACATTGCAGACGTCAAACGGAATGTATTGCTCGCCTAATCTGATCTCATTGTTCATCTACACTACAACTCCGTAGTGCGTTTAGCCCTTGCCCTAGTTCTGATTCAAAATGCGCACGAACGGCTGGGTCAGATAAGCAATGATCTACCAATCGAGTTTGGTGGCGTTTTATGCGACCAGTGAGTTGGAGTGAACTGCATCAAAACTTAAGCATGATCAGATTCAGCGCAAGTGGTCCAATAGGACCAGCCGTTTTGTACTGAGCCACGCCAACAGTAGCTTACTGCCGTGGTCGATATGAGTTGGTGTGCCTGTTGAATTTGAGCGTCACGTTGAGAACTGTATCGGAAGTTGGTGCTGGATAGGAACAGATGGCCTGCGCAGAACTGAAGAGGTAAATCGCCATTATCTGTTCACTGGCAGGGCGGAGCACAATGACCGCCTAGGTAAGTTTTCGATGCGCTCATGTTTCCAACTTGAGCGCTAAAATCACTCGCGAGAACAACTTTATCGGCTCAATCGAATGAGTCCGGTGAGTTTATCATAAAAATCGTCCTTTTGTGCGTCAGAACTGCAGTTGGTCGGCGCAAACCCTGCAATGATGAACTAACACCTTTTTATGTTGCTTCCTTTCCGGACGCTGAAAGACCCCTGGAGCTGCATCACACGTATGCGACTGTTGACGGGGATCCAATCGAGTAGTGCGGCTTCGGCTGGATTGTTGAGTACAATGTCCACACCACGCTGGCCTACTGAACGGACTTCGTCATCACCTAACGCGCGGAGGAAAAACCTCGAAGACAACCCGGTGCACTTAAGTGGCTCACAGTACTAGGATCCCGGATTCGCGTCTCCGATACGCAGCAGACATCAATCCCCAGAGTCCATTGTACGCGCCAGAGACACTTGTTGACCTATCTGCATGAAAAAGCAACAACCAAAACCGACGTATGAAAGCTCGAGGGTAAAGGCTGTAAAGTCTGAAACTATTCACCAGCTACCTTCCCGTGAGCTCGTTCCGGTTAAGGCTGGGAAAACTCCGCGGTCAGAGTGGTATGCCATACTGACATCGAAATTTCCCTCTAACTCGGTTACTGTCCTTAGGATTGGACAAGAAGTATTTAGGTGAACGACATGCAAATTTAATAAATCTGACGGATAATTTTCGACAAGTCCACACTATGGATCATCCGTCAAGAAAAAAATTTCAAAAGGATACTTTGTGATAATTGATACATTTTACTTAGCGACAGAACCAAATTGATCATATCGCCATTCCAGACTGCAGCTCTGAGTGATTAACACCCGCGGATACGAACGATGCTGTTCCAAACCAGATTCTGCTTCAGCCCGATGAACTGCCGAATGCAGGTACCAACAGTACGATGCAATCGACACTGAAGGCTAACCAAGGAAACCATTAGAATATGGATCAAAACAATGATGGATTCTAGAATACAACTCAAACAAACAAGACTTCCGCTGCTCTGTTTGACGCTCGTAGCGCCATTCATCTAGACGCTATGATTGCGAGCAGTCACTTCTTCAGCAGCACGGGGGAAAATGGTAGCAGTGTTGAGAATAGAAATGCAAATTGATAACTAACTAATTGAAAGAGCAGAAAACAAAAACCCGGCGGCACAGCAATTCACATCGAAGGCCGCCCTCAGTGATGAAGGTTATTCTAACAGTGCATCCATCAGTAGCTGTTAGTAAAACCTTTCTTCAGCTGAACTATTCCAAGGGGATAAGAGCCCTCCTGAAACGGATGCTACACGGGTAGTCGTGCTCCTCAAGGATGTCCCTCTGCTGTTTAGCACTGCAATGGATATGCTTCTGGAAACAGCTAACCAGAAACGAGAATACCTGGTACCTGGTACGCACTATGCAATCAACACTGCCGTGTAGCTGTTTGCTGTTTATACCTGCTACCTGACCGTTGGTCCAGCTCCCGACCTCGACTGGAGATAGCGAAAGTAGCCGGATTTCGTAATTAAGCGCTACATTTCAGATATTTGCTTGTTTGCGAAGGACTGCTACAAGGAGCTGCGTTTCTTATCCGACAGCGAGTAACCTTACGACGCGTCATTCATAACTGTTATCGGTTAAACACCTTTTGATAATTAATGTCATCAAATAACTCATTTTCGATGATTAAGAGCGTTCTAATCAGTGCCAGGAATAAGCTCAAGTTCACGGCGAGATAGAAAAACAACGTGAAAATATAGGGCTAGTAGATTAGAAACGGGACAATTGTCCACCTTAAGGCGGAAAACTAAAATGGGGATGTTTTGCAATGTAGCTCATTGTGGCCACCTACTACCCACCTGAGGTGCTCCGAAAGCACTAAAATTTTGGTGCCGTGCCACGTGAGAAGTGGTCGACCGCACCAAGTTCCGGTTTCCGCTAATAAAAAACGGGTCGTGGCCAGAACAGAGTTAACCGTTAGCTGCTCGTTACAAAAATGTGCTATGAAAAATAAATCGTTCCGGTATGCGCTGTGCCATGCTTAATAAAATGCGCTGCTCCGGAGTATCGGTCTCAGGATCAGTACAGCCCAAGTTCGGTCACCAAAGGTAGATGCCATTAGTAACACTGCTCTTGTGCCTACTCAATTCCTCGTAACCCTAGCCAGAACATCTCTCGCCATCTGAATACTACCAGTCCTCCATACTTTACTTAAATGGCCTACTAGAATGAATGACCAAAAGTATCATAGAAATAAGCAAGGTTATTGATCGCACAAACTAAACCATCGGTCGCAATTTAAAATCTGACTATTGCTCATGCCATCTTTGACATTCATCAATGACTTAGACGTAACAGATGACAGTGACCCCGCGCAACTCCAACATTCACTGGGAGCGCATGGTACCTGCTGCACTATTACCAGAGCNGGAGCAAGAATTATCGGGAGAAACGAACTAAGAGCTGGTTTGATAAGGAAACCGAGTCGGCGAGGCTGAGCAGGCCACATTGAGCGTGCAAAGGTCTCAGTGAGAAGACTGACTTCAGTGATACTCTATTAGCGGGCAGCGCTGGTAAATAATCAAAACTCTGAAAGACAATAGCAACAGACTAGGGATTTAACTCGCTGGAATGAGGAGATCGCTACNGAACATGAAGGATACGCGTTACACGCAGAAAACAGAACAATCCAAATAGGCCAAAATTTATTGTCATAAAGCAGTATCAATTACTTCAATTTCTTCTTCGGACGCAAGTTGCTAGTGTGTCCACATTTCCGTTTTCGGCAATTGGTGGCCTTCGGATGAAGTCTGGCGTAGCACTTTCGGCAAATCATTTTCTCACAATTGTATTTCTGAGCCAACAAGCGCAGGGTGGGTTCGATAATACCACCTCGCAGACGCAGAACGAGATGAAGTGTAGACTCCTTCTGTATGTTGTAGTCCGAGAGCGTTCGACCGTCTTCGAGCTGCTTTCCAGCGAAAATTAGACGCTGTTGATCAGGAGGAATTCCTTCTTTATCTTGAATTTTTGCTTTTACATTCTCGATGGTGTCCGAAGGTTCTACCTCAAGCGTGATGGTCTTCCCAGTCAAGGTCTTAACGAAGATTTGCATCGTGACCGAGAGTGAAACCGCCTCGTGTAACGCGCTCCTCTCTTGTAACTGGTTAAAACAAATTGTGACTTTTTACGGTACCTCTCTGATCAGACATGAGTTTTGTCACTCACTGCGAAATTTTCCTACAGAATCATTTCTATTGTTCAAAAGTTGTTCAGTTCGTGTTTAATAATCGAAAGTGTCACACCAAATTGACCGATATATCAAATACTGGCATTAAGGGTTAAGCTACATTGTCAAAGTAAGATGAAAATAAAAGAAACGTATCTACGGATGACATGAAGATTGTCTGGATGATTGTATCATAATACCATAGCAAAGCGATATGGAGGTCAACTGATCCAAAAAGAAACAGTTTAGGCTTTACTCTACTGCTTCGTGTACGAGACCGGAGGTTAGCACTCTTCTATATAAATGAAATAAACCATTGTCTTTTTACTTCTTTTGCCAATTATTGAATACATAACTGTACACCCTTCAGGAAAGGGGCCGTACAAAGGCTGCCTGGGAAGACGAGCGGCGGTGGAGCGGTTAGAACCCGGGAATCCCTGGTCACATATTGGTGACTGAACCACTTGGCCACCACCGTCGATGGGTGGATCCAATTTAGGAATATTGCGTTCACGGGTGGTAATTTTACTGTCGAATAACTAAGAACGGTTCGGAAAGGGCACAATCGTGACCGAAAAGTTGGCTACTAGACTGAATGATGGAATTCCGTCTGTCACTTTCGAAAAGGGAAAACTATTGGAATGAATTCGACATTTTAAGAGAAAATTCATGGTCTGGGGTGACCGAGAGCTTACTGGAATCAATTTCTCAAGCAGAACTGAGATTCATATTCTGAGGCAGTATGACCGTGCGAAGAATTTCATAGACCGCGCAGTACCGAATGAGAACACGTTCTAAGCGGAGAAAGTAA